TAATAATATATATTTAATTATATTTAATTTAATGATTAATTAAATTAAAACTATTTTAATTTAATTCATAATTAATTAAATCTTAATTAATTAATTAATTAATTAATTATTAAACATTATTTAATTAAATCAATTAATATTTGAATCATATTCAAATATACATTTTCTTCCTAACCTAGATTATTTAATATAAATCTAATTCACATTAAACTTTAACCATAATATGAATCCAATTCATATTATTTTCTCATAATAWATAGTTTTATAATGTATCATCATACATTATATTAAATTGTGTTATACACAATTAACTCAAATTCCCTTTAATTAAATTTGAATAATTCAAATTCCTTCCAAGATTTAATGTTCTTAATTATCCTTTACGAGCTAGCAAGGGGATCTAATGGATCTATAGATCAGAAGCTCCATTGTTGTGAGATTGATTGGTTAAACTCATTAACCACCTTAATTAACATATGTTAACTACGGATTACTCCACTAAAAACCTGCGGCTGCACTCTTCTCATTATAGAATATTTCTGTGTCCATGGATATCGACCATTAACGGCAAGTCAATCCTTCACGAGTGTTTGTAACCACATATGGGTCAAATTATCGTTTTACCCCTATGTTACATCTTGTACCTTAAGTACCACTGATCCTCTAATGAACAACCTAGTTATGRTCCGACCAATAACCAGACGTCCCTCTCGGGACAATGAGAGGGTGAGGCCCYTTGTTCAAGTCCTAGAGTCAGTACTAAAGGGAACACTCATCTACTCCCCTAAGGTCGGGGAGGAGTGAATTCCATCTTGTAAAATTATGTTTCCAGCTCCCCACTCGGTCTCGTCCCCAAAATGGTAGGAATGTTGAATCGGCGGCTCGGCCCACTCTCACCCATACAGATCAAAGAACGATCCCTCACGAGTAGGAGTCCATAACTCACTCAGGATTGAGAATGAATTGTCTAGTCATCTTATGAAATAACAATCTATTAGTCAACGACGTTACATCTAAAGATTGACTATTTTGCGGTCCGGTYTTATACAAACCCATTGTATAGAATACCCCCACTCGCATGTCTCCACACAAACGACTTGTATCGAGTCTTTTGTAACATTTACAAAGTGGGTTGTATCTATAGTATTGCCAGGATAAGATGTCCAACCTTATCCATATACTGTAGACCCTTTAGGTTATTCCYGGGACATTATCCACTTGTATATCAAATATATACCCAGTATATATACTGTYCCGGTTACATGAAAATAACCTTGGATGTTTAGTTTATTGGATTTGGACAATGCAATGATGTAAATTAAACAACTGATTGATTGAATAAGAAAAACAAAAATTTATTGAATATAAATTTGTTTTTACATAATTACAAACTACGAGCTAAGGGCAACACACCCAACAACAGGTACTATGGATCTTCTGACTCCCAACCAGATTGCCTTCCCACGTATCACCGGTGTTGCTTGTAGGTYGTGATGTGCCTTGAGATAGTCGTCTCTTGTCCCCCTACTGGTGAGGAATCTGCTATCGGGTCGTTACTCTATTGCGTTTGGCCCATCCTTTAGGCATCGATCAAATCAGGGCGGATTGRCAAATGAAAAATCGACATCAACCTGAACAAAGTGAATAAATGGAAAAAATGCAAATAAGTTCTAAGTCCAATCTGAGGCTAACTCATTTAGTTAAGACGTATTTTTTCAACCGAAAGATCAGAGGTTTGAATTCTCACCCTTACTTGTTGTTCAACAACAAGTTGAATAAAATCTACCGCTATGGACAAACCAAAAGTATTGTATAGTGCAAAATTTTACATTTTTAAGAAAGATATTTAAAATATTTAAAATTTAAATATATACAATTTTTTAATCTAAATAAAGTAAGGGGATAATTGCCTATCATTTATTTTTCTAAAAATAATTAGGTGTTTAGTGGTCAACACTAACCAACATTMAATTTTTGACAAGTGGAAGAGAGAAATGTATAAAATATAGAAGATATCTTTTATGTTTTTTAGAAAAATTAAAAAGGTGACAATTTCTTATTGGTCGCCAGCACAAAAAATGTGTGTTGACTAATTATTCTTTTCTTATTTTKTGCWGGGTCTTTACGTGCAACAATTATCCACATGTTCTTGTTTTCTAAAACACACCTAAATAACACTAAATACGTTTGCTAAATATTTTTTTCTAATATATATTTTATATGCTTCAAAATAAACACTTTAAAAATATTTATTAACTTTCAAAAATAAAATTTGTATTTAAAACTATATTTTTATAATTAACCGACAATTTTAAAATATATTTAAAGATAGATCACCCAGCACAAAAATCTTGATCAAATTGTACATTAATCTTAGATAAGCATTGCAATCTTTACGTTTAGCTTGAAAAAATGTTAGTAATTTGATAACGGTTAAAAAAGTATTTTCATGTCCACTCTATAAATTATAAGGGATGCAATATTTCCCATTGAAGAGAAAAAGCTAATGATTATCATTCTATAGTGACCGACTTCATCTGTCACGTATACCACTCTTATTGACAATATTTCTAAAATTTSTAAAGGAGCAACRTGGTAGATAAAATTTCTAAATGAGTAACGTGATAGATAATCTAATTCGCAACATCACCTTAAGTTCTATCGAGCTGATAAAGTCCATCTAACTTGAATGAGGCCAACTTAGCTCTTCTTCAAACTCRAACCTACGAGGATGGTCTTTGTTAGGAAAACGAGGCGTCTCAGTTGCCACATCATCCCTCCTCATGGAAGTATCTTAATTGTCCACATGGCAAACGTCCTACTCATRACATTGACCAAATTCAAAACTTTGATTCTCATTGAAATTGATGAATTTTTGAAGATTTTTATATTGCTTTTTTAAATACAATAAATTTTAGAATAGAAGATTGAACCTCTTACTTTTAGAAGGAGCAAGATGTCTTAATCACACAAAAGAATAATTATTAGACCAACTAGTGTACTAAATATCGTTCGACGCATCGACATCGACACAGGGGGAAAATTGTTTTTGCCACCTTATCGACGATATAACAAAATGTYGTCAAAATATCGATATTTCGACAAAATTTACAAAATATTGTTAAAAGAAAAATTGTACTCCATGGTCGGGCCTGACAAAACCCAACCCAGCTGGATGGATGAGTAAAAACCCTTAATCCCTTTTYGAGGTGGGATTTTTGGGATCTAGGAGGTCTTTTTTTGCTTATTCTAATAATAATAWTATTATTATTTAAATTTATCTATTTATTTCACTTTTTACTATTGACCTATTTTTATTACGGTTAAACTTTTTTCAAATTTTGTTTTCAAACTTAATTACAAAATTCTTAAACCTATCATTTCTATTTTTTAATAATTCTACGTGTGTACATCAATATTTCCTATCTTATTCAATTGTGTAACTAAATACTAGATTTAGTTATAAATTATCAATAAAACATAATTAAGAAACACTAAACTCCAATTTACATTTCTAAACATAATGTCTTGGATGGTCTATTTTGRAAATTTATTTTCACAAATGTCGAATGTTTACGAATTTTATAGTTTTAGATTTCTGGATTTAAAACTTTTTCCAAATATCAAATTTGCCCTTATTTATGACATTTATATTTATTATAATTAGTCTTTTATTTAAATGTAAAAAATTAATATTCCAAATTTGATTGTGTAAAGATTAAATTATGGTGGGACCTAAATCAATCATTCTCGTAATCCCTTAATTTACTCCTTAAATATATTAATAAAATTTATTACAAAATATTCAATTATTCTCCTAATCTCCAGATTTACTCCTTAATATATTCTACTAAATAATGAAATTTATTACAAAATATTTTTTTCATTTCATTACAATTTTTGGCCAAATTTCAATACTATAGTCATTATAACATACATTTATATATATATAAATTTTTTTATATGGAGATATAAACTATATCCGGCTACTTTTTCATTTATATAGAAATATAAATTATATTCGGCTATAAACTTAAGCAACATACACTTAACAATATAGTGATATAAACTATAGCCATTATAACATACACTACTTATATTGAGATATAACTTATATCTGACTATAAAGTATATACGACTATATCCCTCTACAATTAACAAACAAAGCAAATAAGCTACAAACCTTTCGGTCGGCGGCTAGACAATGGTTGGGATAAACGAAGGGCTTGAATGGTCGACGGGCAACCGTCGACAAAAAAGAAACCTCGGGATAAACGGACGGAAACAATGGACGAGCGGCCGGAGACAAAGGAGAAGCTAGACAGATTGTTCCGACGACGAAGAAGAACGGAGACGACAGCTGGAGACGAAGGAACGCAGACGGTGGCCAGGGGACGAAGGAATGGACGAAAACAGAACGACCGATAAAGAAGAAAAGTCAAAGTAATGAGGTTTTCGAATTTTTTCAATAATGGATAATTTTGGGGATTTGGTATTTTTTACTTTTGGAAAGTCTAATTAGGCAAAATTAAAGGGATTTAAAATGTAACCAATTTTGGATTTGAAAAATTAATTAATATTGAAGTGTAGATATAAAAGGATATATTAGTAAATTGGGTGACGAGTACCAATGGGTGATGAGTACCGAGGTTGTTTCATGACAAAAGTGTAAATTTTATATATTCAATCATTTTATGTAATTATAGTCTCTAAATAGTCTATCAAGGTACTGATCCTTATTTCTATCCATCTTCATTATCTTGTTACGACATTTCTATCGACATCGACATTTTTCATGAATAAATTAATCATATTTTTACATAATTAGAAAGGATCCATTATAGTTTAATTAAACTGCCATTAAAGTTTTASTTATGGATTAAAATAATTTTTATTAATTTTCACCTGCGTAACTTTTCTTCAAATATTTTTGGGCATCTTCGAGACCAACCATATAAAAGAATTGAGATATTAATCTAACTTTGCCCTAATTCCAAGGAGCTTGAATGAGTAGTCAGGAGGATAAAAGAGTAAGAATCTCTCAAACGATGGCTGAAATCATAGAATTGAGGGCACAGCAGATGAATTGAGAGCGAGTCGAGTCTTCGTCGTCACCCACAGTTTCTGAGGGCTGAAGCTTCCACTGCGGGGGAGTGTTCCGAGCTTCTTCTCTCCCACCTCGGTTCTCACCACAAACCCTAGAAAAATGTCGGGCGGCTTTTTCCGGGTAATCTTCTTATCGAACWCACAACTTAGCTTCAGCTCGTTCTTGGGTTTTTTCTTATTTGGCTCCAAGTGTTTGCCAAGGCTTTAKGTTTTAGTAATTGGGCAAGTCTTTTTCAGCTTTCTCTATCGTTGTTAAGTTAGAGGACTTCCCATCTTCTTGTTTTTGTAATCCTGTAATTATTTGTGCTGTTTATGTGTTCTAGCTGAAAGAATTGCTCTCTCTCGTTAGATCAGAATCATTGTTTCATGATCAATTCATCTTTAATTGTGGATGTGTTCTGTGTGTGTTCGATGTTCACCTGCATTTATGCTCTTCAGTATTCTGTTGACGTTTTTATTGGAGTTTTTATTTGTTTCATTGCAATTGACTAGGGTACGTCTGCGGACCAAGACACTCGTTTTTCGAACAAGCAAGCGAAGCTGCTGAAGACACAGAAGTTCCCTGCCGAACTAGACCAGTTGGTTAGTTTTTTCCTCTTCAAACTACCATTACGTGTGTTGTTTGTGACTTTGTTTAATTGTCATAGATGTTTGTGACTTTGTTTAATTGTCATAGATGTTTGTTTTACGTTTTGGTAATTGCAACTGGGTTAAGTGTGAATTCGTGCTGTTATCAATCTTTAATTATTTTAAGGATTAATCAGTGATCCTTAAGCACAAGTGATGTGTCTTAGGTGGATACGACAAAGGTGAAGATGGATGTTATCAGGCCGTGGATTGCTACGAGGGTGACTGAGCTTCTTGGGTTTGAAGATGAAGTTCTTATTAACTTCATATATGGCCTTTTGGATGGCAAGGTAACTAAAAGATTACTACAACAGATTTTTCTGGAAAATTTCTTCTACTTCAATATTTTTCTCATCAGCTTTCTTATTATAATTGCATTCCGTAATATACGCTCCATCCTTTTTGTGGCTGCTAATTGGTGGCTCTGCTCAAGCCACACTACACCAGTGCCCGAACCAGATGAATTGAGGCTGTTATATATTTTAAAACAAACGGTTTAAGCTTTTCTTCAGAAATATATTGTTGAATATGCATCAATTAAGTACTTTGGTGCAGGAGGTAAATGGGAAGGAAGTACAAATACAACTCACTGGGTTCATGGAAAAGAATACTGTGAAGTTTATGAAAGAGCTGTGGACACTGCTTATCAGTGCCCAGAAGAATGCCAGTGGTGTACCTCAACAATTTTTGGATGCCAAAGAAGAAGAAATTAGGAAGAAGAAGGTTTCTGGATTTTGTTAAGAATTATTGTACTAGTAGTAGTTACTTAGATTACTTGGTGTCTTTCTACTGATTAGTTCTCTTTGATTATTACAGGCAGAGACAGATTTTCTCGCAAATGAAATTCAGAAAAAAAGAGAGAAGGAAAATCGAGAAATTGAGGAGCAGATATCAAAAAAGATGGTAAAAAGTTGATTCATGTTGGAGTTATAATTTCTTCCGATTGGTTTTTGGTCATAACTTTTCTCTGTATTTCCTCTGGCATTCAGCTAGCTTCTGCAATTATTTGGGTTCATGTCCTTTACCTCAAACTACTGTAGGACGATGGGGCTGAAAAGGTGGCCAATGCTGCGTTGGAACCTACAATTACATCAAAGAATATGCGYTCAAGGGATATGAGAAATCATCCAGAGGATGAGGATGAGACTGAAAAGAGAAATGGTGTTAGAGGAAGAAGCAGGTAATGGAGTATAATAGATTGATTTTCAGCTTTAGTGCAATGATTAATTTTTGTACCTTTAAAAAATGACAGTTTATATTCATATTACGTTTCCAGTCGAGTGTCATTGCTTGAAATAAGATATTGTGAATCACTTGAGATATTTACTTGGGCAGGGGTATGTAGTATAGTGGTGGGAAGTTTGAATATGAAAATACTTTCAATCCATGATTGATGGTGTGATACACTATCACTTTAGTTTGCATGTCCTAAAAAGTCACATCTGTCATGTTGAAAGTGCCCCTAAATCTTTCACTAGGTTCTTGACAAGAAATCTCTTCTTTGACAATGGTATGCGCTTGTATGATATATATAACTGTATTGCTAAGCTTCAACTACAACTACAATTTTCTGAATATAAGAAAGAGTATAGTTTCTTAGAACCAACATATTAGTGAATAGTTTAATTGAGGAACCGTGCTTTCATGGAGTAAAATGAAATACATTAGAGAATAAGTATTAGTGGAACTAATAATATATCGTAACAGGTTCTCTAGGCCTCGTTTAGCTATTCAATCTCCCTCATCTCCTTGGTTATTTTCCAAATTGATGCATGCTGCTCTTTTTAAAGTTCTTATCGTATTTCATAGGTCACATTTGACAAATTTGTAAATATGTGGCGCTTGGGTATCTTTTGCAGAGGCTCACCTTCAAGGTCTTTGAGCCAGCCAATTTCTAATTCTAGAAGTTATTCAAAGTACGTTTTCTATTTTTAATATAATGATATTGAATCAGTGATCCAATGTAATTAATCAATTTATATTTGCTTGATGATATTTTTCAATGTATTGTTGAACAGTAATGTCTGCTTAAGAGGGTGCCTTATCCTCTTATTTTATTGCTCCTAAATTTCATTGATTCATATGTTTTTTTTTGTACTGACAGTAATAAATATGTTTTTCATAGAAAGCATGTGTGGTTATTATGGATCTTTCCGGAATCTCTTCAATTGTTCTAATGTTTCTACCATAAATGTTGTAGTGATAGACATAAATCAAGGAGTATGTCCAGATCACCTCAACGTCGACGACCCTCTTTTTCACGTGGAAGGTTGAATCATTCCCCACCAAGAAGGTCTATGAGTCCACGTCGTAGGGACCACCATGATTCATTCTCTTCTCGACGTAGATCGTCATATTCAAGGAGAAGATCTAGATCTACTTCACATCGTAAATCCCTCTCCCCAACAGTGCATCAATTGCGTTCTCCTTCTCAACATAGTTCACCATCTTCTCCTCATAAATCACCATATCGTTCATCATCACCTGTGCAACATCGATCATCATCACCGGTACGTCGTAGGTCGTTGTCACCTGTTAAGCATAATAGAGCACCATCACCCAGGGGGCATCGCAGGTCACAATCACCAATTAGACGTCGTCGATCGCCTTCACCTATTCAACGTCRTAGATCACCATCACCTAAATGGCGTCG